GGTAGCTTGTGTAACAGGTGATGCTAGTGCTTGGTTTATAACAATATCTAAATGAATGTTAGTTCTTCACTTCCCCAAGTTTGTATATGTCTCTTACAACCTAAAGAGAAATATGGGAAGGGCAACTGAAACTCTCTAAGACTACTATTGATAGTAAGTCTGATCATAGGTGTGTGATCCTGTGACTCGTGCTTGTTTCAAAACATAGGTATGTAGAAAAAAGAGCCAATAGGATTTTTTAAATCTCCATCAAATTCTGTTAACTGTCCATGTTCTTTAAGAAACAAGGCTAGATAAATATGACACAACACAACAAAGTATAAATAGAACATTAATGTATGGTTTAACAAAAAATGATAAAGGAAGTACACACATTGATCCATCACTCAGGCTGAGAAACAAAACTCACAGCACCCAGAATAACTTCTCCCTGACCCTCTTTTTCCTTCCAAATCATAATTCTCTCACCCCTAAACAATGGATGGGGGTTGCCGATTCTCGACGTCTACAGTGAATGCAATTATAGTTGTGTATTCCTTTTTGTCTTTTCTTCTGCTTATTAATAATGTTTGGGAGATTTAGCCTGTGTATTATATAACACTGTTTTTTTTTCATTTCCATTGCTAAAAGGTCCATTGAATAAATACATAGTAATTTATTTGTGTATTCTACTGTATATGGACACTTGGAATTGTGTTTTGGGCTCAAATGAGAAACACTAGTGTGTGTGTGTGTGTGTGTGTGTGTGTGTGTGTGTGTGTCCTGGTACTTATGTGTACGTGTTTCCCTGGAGTAAATACACAGGATTGAAATCACTGTGCTATGGGGTACGTATTACCCCAAACTGCTTTTCAAATGGATTACACCCATGTTTTGTTTTTACCTCATGGAAATGTTTGAACATTTCAAGTTCACATTATCATTTCTATGACATCCCACAGAAACTTTATAATTTACCTTGGCAAGTGTTCTATTGGCAGGAACTGCTGTTACATCGAAACGAAGGTCATTAGTCAAAGGCAGCCCAAAACTCCAACCTCCATATCTGTATCAAATAATAAAATTTATATTTGTTTTAATGGAGCAAATAGTCATAAATAGATCTAAAATGTTTAAGATCTCAATCTTTTCTTTCCATTAGGAACACATTTATGGTATAAAATAAATACTGCCTGATAAATATTTTACATTTTCATTGATTTGTTTTATCATATTTTAGTCTAAAATGTAGATTATAGCTAGAAATAAAAAGTCCTAAACAATAGCAAATGTGTAGTAATCATTCTGAAAACCAATGACATAATCTAACCAATTCCTCCAACATAACCAGGTTTGCACCATCACATGAGACTTTAGGGATTAAATATCCTTTTTTAGATAAGTTTTGTTATAAACCAAACACTACACTGATATAGCATCAGTTTTTAACTTCTTTCAAGTGACTCCATTTCTTCTATTCTCCCAACTTTTTCCCTTAGCTTGTCCCCCACTGCTGTATGTTTTTTCTTCCTGGATATTTGAAGGTGAGTTATGATTATATAACTCCCCATCAGTTCATGGTCTCTTAAAAATAAAAAGTGGATTTTAAAAAACCCAAGTAGTAATTTAAATAATAGATTAGTTTAAATGTCCCAATAGGGGTTGAGTTAAATAAGTAATAATGCAGTCATGCTGGAATAATCTTGTGGCTGTCATCCTAAATGTGGTCATAGCACTATAGTTTTGGAATGTAAAGAACACTGTAGTGTATTGTTCACTTTTAAAAAAAATAGGTTTTAGAACAGTTTTTTAATAATCAACCCAATTTTGTTGACAATATTTACATGTATGTCTGACCAGAAAAATTTTGGAAGGATTATTTTAGAGCTAATATTAGTCTTTTATGTAAATTGAGAAATAAAAGTGGGATAAATGGAAAAGAGGAAAAAATAGTAGCTATTGCAAGCCTACCAACTCCCACATCCCTAGCTTTACTGAGGTTTAGTGACAAATAAAAATTATATGTATTTAAGGTGTACAACTTGAGATTTTGATAGATGTATACATTGTGAAATAATCACCACAATCAAGCTAATATATCCATCACCTCACATAGTTACCATTTTCTTGGTGTGTGTTGTGTGAATATGTACTGAGTACTCTTAAGGTCTATCCTCTTAGCAAATTTCAAATATACAATACAGTATTGTTAACCTTGTCACACCGCTGTCCATTAGATGTCCAGAATCTATTCACCTTGACACTGTTATATCCTTGAGCAGCATCTCCTATCCCCTCCTCTCACCAAACTCTGGCAACCGCCATTCTATTCTCTACCTCTACGAGTCTGACTATTTTAGATTTCACATATAAGTGAAATCACGCAGCATTTGTCTTTCTGTGTGTGGCTCATTTCATTTAGTTTAGTGTCCTCCAGGCCTCTCCACGTTTTTGCAAATGTAAGCCTACCAGTCTTACATTCATAGAAAATGCTTCAGTGACTTAGGTATTTGTCCAGGGACCTTGCTACACATGTGCACATCTTATCTGCATGCAGAGATATGCATATTGAAACTAAGGCCATTTGTCATGGGAAACAATGCCTTAAAATTCTCCAAGTTGGCATAACCAGTCAATAACTTCTCTTTTGCTTCAAGGAAAAAAAGTGTGTAAATTTTACAATACATGTTTGAGGCCGAAAAAAAAAATCAATGCTTTTTAATTTGCTTAAATGGATCCTAATTTAGAGTCATTACTTAAATATTAATACATAAAGCTGTTTAGATAAAGCAGATATTTAACTATGTAAATAATCAATAGACATGTGCATCCATTGCCTCAAATTCAGAAGGCAATTACCATTAAAATTAAAAGGCAAGATATGCTCAATTAAATGTTATAAACAGAGTATTTTTACCTTTTTTGCATAAACTCATTAGCAGTTGATATAAGATAATTTTCCAAGCGGTGCCCAGTGAGGTCATAAATTACTTGGGAAGAATAAGTTCTTCTGTGAGGTGGAGAGTAGTTAAACTTAGGACATTCCTGAAAAATAAAGCTAAAAGTTAAGTTCTTTTCTGGCCAGTGCAGTGCAAATCAAATAGACAATGTCAAGGACCTTCAGTCTCATCACCTGTCTATTATTGCAGTTGGTGGAGTGTGACCTCTGCTCCCTGACTTTATTTTTTTTTTAATTTTTAAAACTACCTTTTATATTTATTGCATGTAATTTTACCTGTTTCCTTTTTTTAAATTGTTTAAAGTATTACATATGCCCCCTTTTTCCCCCAATTGACCCGCCCCAGTCACGCCCACCCTTGAGGGCAAGCCCCCACCACCTCGGTGTCTGTGTCCATTGGTCATGCTAATATGCATGCATACAAGTCTTTTCGTTGATCTCTAACCCCATATGGTGAATTGTGCTGCTATGAACATAGGGGTTCATATATCCTTTCTGATTGGTGTTTCTGGTTTCTTGGGATATAGTCCTAGAAGTGGGATTACTGATTCAAATGGGAGTTCATTTTTAACTTTTTGAGGATACTCCATACTATCTTCCACAGTGGCTGCACCAGTCTGCACCAGTCCACCAGCAGTGCAAGAGGGTTCCTTTTACTCCACATCCTCACCAGCACTTGTCATTTGTTGATTTGTTGATGATAGCTATTCTGACAGGTGTGAGATGGTACCTCATTGTTGTTTTGATTTGCATCTCTCTGGTGATTAGTGACTTGGAGCATGTTTTCATATATCTCTCAGCCTTCTATTTGTCCTCTTTTGAAACGTGTCTATTTAGATTCTTTGCCCATTTTTTGATTGGATTGTTTATCTTCCTTTTGTTAAATTGTATGAGTTCTCTGTAAATTTTGGAGATTAAACCCTTATCTGAAATAGCATTGGCAAATATGTTCTCCCATGCAATGGGCTTTCTTGTTGTTTTGGTGATGGTTTCTTTTGCTGTGCAGAAGCTTTTTATTTTGATGTAGTCCCATTTGTTTATTTTCTCTTTAGTCTCTATTGGCCTAGGAGCTATATCGGTGAAGATATTGCTACGACATATGTCTGATATTTTGCTGCCTATGGAGTCTTCTAACATTTTTATGGTTTCCCCTCTTACATTTAAGTCCTTTATCCATTTTGAGTTTATTTTTGTGTATGGTGTAAGTTAGTGTTCTAGTTTCATTTTTTTACATGTAGCTGAGCAAATTTCCCAGCACCATTTATTGAAGAGACTGTCTTGACTCCATTGTATGCTCTTACTTCCTTTGTCAAATATTAATTGACTGCTCCCTGACTTTAAAGAGCTTTGAAAAGGAAGGCATCTTGCCTAGGCCAAGAAATTAGAACAAATAGTTATTATATGGAGAGAGCTTATACTTGAATTTAGGGTTCACTTGAAGTAAAAAAAAATAACACAATTAATGAGTGATTTTTCTTTTACTGTCCTGACAAGCTTGGTATATTTGGAGAACAATACTGAACACTAAGATGACTAAAAATTCCCTCAATAATTTACAGGGAAGAAAAAAATGTTTGCCCCAAATTGAAAAGATAACATTACCAGACTTATGTTCTCAGGGTCTAAGAGAAGTGGATGAAAAGTTTGAGTTATTGTCCTGGCCAGGTTGCTCAGTGGGTTGGAGCATCATCTCAAACACCAAAAGGTTGTGATTAAATTCCCATTCAGGGCATTTACCTGAATGGCTGTGGGTTCAATTCCTGGTCAGGAACAACCAATTGATGTTTCTCTCTCACCTCTCTCTCACTCTCTTTCTCTCTCCCCATCCCTCTAAAATCAATAAAAAAGGATGTCCTTGGGTGAGAATTAAAAAACAAAAGTTTGAGTTATATTAGTTTTAAGGTACCAAACTTAGGTGTCAGAGCTCAATTTTACATATATCTAAATCAAAATCTAAAATAATTTCCTATAAGTATAAATCTAATATTTATACATCTTATATAATAAAAGCCTAATATGCTAAGTGTCCAGTTGTCCAGTCGGCTGTTCAACCAATCAAAGTGTAATATGCTAATGATATGCTAAGGTTGCTCAACCGCTCGCTATGAAGTGCACTGACCACCAGGGGGCAGATGCTCCAACTGGTAGGTTAGCTTGCTGCTGGCCTCCAGCCAATCGAGACATGCCCTGGAGCCCTCTTATGGTCCCTCCCAGGCTAGCCAACCTCCTGCATCCCTCCCCGGCCCCGTTCATGCACCAGTGGGGTCCCCCAGTCTGGCTTGCGCCCTCTCACAATCCAGGACCCCTCGTGGAATGTTGGAGAGCCAGTTTTGGCCTGATTCCACAGGCCAGGCTGAGGGACTCCACTGATGCATGAATTCATGCACAGGGCCTCTAGTATAAATATAAAATTATTCCAAAATGAAAAGTATATATATTACTGGGTCCCTGCAGACCCTTCACCCAGTCTGCCCATTGTTAACACCTTACATTATAATCACACATTTGTTTAAGTGCTTTGGTACATGACTATTAACCAATCTCAGAACTAAGTTTTAATCACTTATTTTTATGCTTGTAGCTTTCTGTACTTCCTATTTACTTTTCATTGAAGCTGCCCATGTTTTACTACCTTGAACTGTAGTTTTGGAAAACCTAGAACTTTTCCAGTTTTTCTTCCATCCCTTCATACAATGTCTCACACCTTGAGGCTAGTACCACACATGGACTTCCACATTAGAAAGATTAGAGACAGGATTAGGAAACTTTTTAGTACTGGGTAAGGCTAATATTTAAATATGCAAGGATCCCAAAAGATGCCCATTGAACCCCAGCTTTTCCTGTTAGTGATTGTCTTGCATGAAAACACAAAAACGGGTTGCATTTACTGGAAACATTTTCATTCTAACATCTTTTACAAAGACAGTTCAGGGTACAATCCTATGACACTTTGTAGAGAATATTGCTAGATTCTTCCCCATGGGGAAGTAAGCTGATAACATAGTGACTCTCAGAGACTAATAGTGATCTCTCTTCTTCAGCCATCTTTAATTTCCCCAGTGAATTTGGTTTTCTTAAAAGCTTATCGAATGGATAGGCCTAAGGTGTGTATCCATAGCATAGAGATAGGGTAAGTGATAATTGGACAATCTTTCCTATTTATTTCAGGACATGATTTTTCTTGCATTCTGGAGGTGTTGCTTAGAGGCAAAGGAGCTCTGTTTTGGACTTCCACATTACTGACTTCCCAGCTGACCACTCCGGTGGCAGTCTTGCTGTGTTTTCAAATATGACAGTTATGGTGCCATTGTGTTGTATGAAATATAGAGCTTTCTGGTTAGAACTGAACTGAACCCAAAAATTCATCTTCGGTTAGTTTCCATGAAGACCATCATAGAATTACCTACCCTTGGAAATTTGTCCTGAGATGGATTTACAACGGTGACCTGAAGTTCAAAGCCAATATTTTTGAGCTGCCCAGGTCCACATCTCTGAGCTACTCGCTTCCATAAAATGAAATTATACTGACTCTTTGGTAACCTAGATATATCTTTCAAATTTTGATATTTATTCTTTTCTTTTTTCCTACTTCACTAAGAATTTCATCTTACCTGGACATTTTCCGAGCAAGAGCAAACTCCAAAGTTACTGATACGTTCTCCACTGCTGTTCCATTTTCCCAGACTGTCTTTTTCTAAACAGCTTCTGCAAGTGAAATTGATATTGAAATGAGGTATGTGTGTGTTCTCATATTTATGCATGAGCATAGGAGAGAGTGTTAGTTATTGAATTCAGGTCCTGTACAGCTTACTGATTTTTTATTACTTGGATGTACATTGCACTACCATTTTCAAGTAATCTAACATTTTGGGGGAGTTGATGGAGAGCACTTAGTAATTAAGCAGCATTAAAACCAAAGCTCACAGAATTGTCTTAATAAGGCAGGAAGTGTTTTTTTGACCCCTTTCTTGTCTTGGTTCTTTCCAATCTTTCCTCTGACAGGAAGGGGATACTTTAGCAAAATGATGCATTAATGTCAGGCTTACATGTGTTGTGTACTATCTTAAAAGTCTGAATAAGCAACACTACATAGTGCAAAAGCATGGGAATTGGAGTCAAGACTTGGGCCTCAGCTTTAGCTATACAACTTTCTACCTCAATTTCTTTATACAAGAATCTTAGTCCCTAGGAGCCTCAGTTTCTTCATCTTAAAAATGGGATTAATACTTCACAGGACTGTAGTGATTGTTAAATGAAAACCTGTACACAAAAGAACTTTATAAGTCATAAAGCATCTACTGTTCATTATTTTACAGCACAGCCAGGGAATGAACTAAAGGAGATAGATAATATCCATTAAACACATTTCTATCAGTGTACTACCCTCCTCCAGCCAAATAATACACACCCACTTGTCCACACACCCTCATATACATGCACGCACACCAAGTAGAACATTGAAAAAAGAACAAGAGGCACTCACATATCACTGGAGTTCAAACACATGTTGTCGATGCCAGGGAAGGTCCACATTGCTGAGACCAGGGCTGCTGTGCTTGGGTTAGAATTCCTGCAACACAAAAAGATAGAAACAAATTCATGACTCCTTCACTTGTCTCCCATGTTAACCTCATGCTCATGAATAATTTGAGAAAATGAAATAGTCTCTCTATGGACTGCTGTCTTAAATATCTAAGAAAGACTTAATCACGGGGGGGGGGGAAAGTATCACAGAAAAAGATAAACACACATCTCTATTTGGCTGCTTGTTATTCTCTTGATTGTCATAGACGTTTACTGATCACATATTGTATCTACAACACTCTATGATACAGAATTCTAACATTATTTTTCAATTTGTGAGACCAAGAAAGAGTTACTTGCGATATATTATAATAGATTGGGAAGCCATACCTAACCTGACTCTCTTGATTGAAGTCTAGTCTTTAAAAATAAAGATCTACTAATACTTTATTTTTAGGCAAACACAAAAATGCTTCAAAGTTATTTGTTGGCAATATCATGTCACAATAAATCAAACTGTCCCATCCTTTGACAGAATTAGGTACTGTCGCTCCTAAGTTCGTATTCTTCAGTAATTCATCCCATTCATTCAGGCACAACTGTACTTCTAGAAGCAAGATGGAAATATCTTTTTAGGTAAAGAAAGGAAACTTACGCGTAGAAAGCTGTCTGTTCAGAGGTACCATAGAGAGATGGGGAGATCTGGATCTCAGGATAACTGTTACTGGAATTTTTCAGTGTGCCGAGGCCCATGGCAGTGGTGACGAAGACGATGGGGAGGATGACCTGGGCAACGAAACCTTTCCAGTTCCTGCGGGTGTGGTGGAACCTCTTAATGAGGATAGCCATTATCTTCTTCAGTAACAGTCCAAAACCATCCAGTCTCTCTCCTGATGTCAGGATTTTGTCTGATTAAGAAAAAGAGATTTCAGTTGGTTCTGGAAAGTCCTAATACATCAAATAATAAAGTTACTCCAAAAACTACGGATAGATGATATAATGTGATATGGTGGGAAAACCTTATATTTTAAAGATTTGGATTTTAGGTTCAGCTCTTTATTTATCACCTTTGGGTTGAACCCCTCCATCTCATAGAGCTTCATGTAAAAGTGTTTTGAAAATTACAAATCACTATACAAAATATATTGTTAGTCATGTACATTGTAGTTTTGTACATCAAAGAGACATATAGAAGTTTATAAATGAACATTGTCCCCAATCTTCAGTCTCCATGAGGGTTCAGTATGTATGACTAATTACTAATATCAGAGAGATAATTTCTAACAAGACACTGAATTCAAATAAGATAAATGGAAACCAGAATATCAATGTAGTCTAAGAACTCATTCCTACTGTGGGAAACTTAGTCATTATAAGTCTCACTCTCTCTCATTCTTTTCTTTTTTTGGAATAAGAATATTTGTTACTTATTATTTTTTGCATGGCTTATACCTACAGTATATATTCTTAATACATTTTTATTGACTTCAGAGAGAAAGGAAGAGGGAGAGAGAGAGAAAAACATCAATGATGAGAGAGAAATATTGATCAACTGTCTCTTGCATGTCCCCTATTGGGGATTGAACCCAAAACGCAGGCATATGCCTTGATGGGAATTGAACCCAGGACCCTTCAGTCCACAGGCCAACATTCTATCCACTGAGCCAAACCAGCTAGGGCTATAGTACATTTTATTTTATTGTCTTTCATTCTTAATGTGAAGTCCAATGAATTCACCTTATACATGGGGAAAGGAAAATGCCTCCTCCAAAGTATAATTCTAGTTCAAACACTTATTCATTACATTCTCTTTAGAAATTTGGTGTACTTTTATGGCATTTCAGAACTCCATTATTACCACTAGAGTCCCAAAAATGAGCTTATTAGGCAAAATGTCTACCCTCTTGCTCTCCAAAATGCTCTTCAGGTGTTGAGGAAAATTCCATGGCTTCTAAGAGTCAGAGCAACTGTGGAGGCCATAAACTGTTTCCTCCTTAGTGCTCTTGCAACTGATAATCTCAGCAGCACCCCCTAAAATTAGGTTCAAATATAACATTCTCTCCTCAGGCCTGCCGCCAAGCAAGCATGTGATAAGTTGACAGTATCTACTCTGTGGCTATTTTAAATTCTTCATCATAAATTATGCAGCACAAAAAATCATGATCTTCATTTAGCAGATAAGGACAAATACAAAGCTGCTTAATTTAAAATGAACTCCAATTAAACAGAGTGAACAAGTTTAAATGAAAAGTCGTATCTCTGCAAAGGGAAATTGCAGAAGGAGCTGAATATATTAAGTTAATTAGTATGCTTTTCTGTTTCTTAAGAAAATTCTGTTTCATAAGAATGGCTTACAGGTGGATCAAACAGAGCTTTCTAAAAGATAATGTCAATGATGGGTACATTTTGACTGAAGAATAGTTCCAAATTATGAGACAAATACAGAACATGTACTTCCTGAAGCAATTGACCACCTTCAAAGTCCTCAACTCCATGGATTCGACAGCTCTTTCCCCAAAAGATGATAAATGGGGAAGATGGCGGAGGACAAATGAGACTCCCAAGTTCCAGAATTATACAAACATTAGAGATTGCCTTTTCTGAGTTTTGAAGCTAGGCAAATGTTTAATGAAAAGTTCTGTTCCTAGAGACTTTTATAAATTTCAGCAAACTATTGAAATGACTACTCCATAATTTATACATCATTTTACTATATGCTTCCTTAAAAAAATAGTGTTTCCAAAGGAATAAATTAACTGTCAGAAAGAGAATAACAGAATAAAAGTTATTTTCAAAAGAGCTCAATTCCTCAAAGTCATGTCAAGAAACACAATTTTTCAAATGTATATTGTGTGAAAAACATGGAGGAGGGACCTCTTATTTTAGAGTCAGAGCCATTAGGTCCAACCTCATCAGTTCAGAGACCCTCGTCCAAAAGCATTTCTCAGAGCCTGAATTTTCTCAGCACCTGAATTGTTCAGAGGTGAGAAGGTTAGACATGTTTTCCAATGAGTTCCATAAGGAGTGATGACTATATTTTTAACTTTTAAAAATTACATATAAAAGCTTAAGCGACCATTATGACTGGTCTACTGAACGACTAGTTGACCTGTCACTATGTCGCGCACTGACCATTGGGGGCAGAAGCTTAACACAGGAGCTGCCCCCTGGTGGTCAGTGTGCTCCCATAGCCAACCTCCGGCGGCCAGCCAACCTCCCGTGGTCCGCCAACCTCCCGTGGTCCCTCTCCCTGGCTGGCTGGCCCCAATTGGCCGCCATCGGGACTGGGCTAGACGGGCCCCTATCCGCCCTGATCAATGGCCAGGCCGAGGGACCCCACCCATGCATGAATTCGTGCACCAGGCCTCTAGTGTCTAATAATAGTCAGTGAATGTAACTTTGTTAATTGTGGAATAGCACGAGTTACAAGAAGGATTTTAACTTGTTGAACACAAATCTGAGATTGTAGTAAATTACATCTTAAAAATGACTACTGGTGGGTGGAGAAATACTCATCCCTGCCCTAACAAGAAAATTCTTTCACATTCTTCAAAACATTTTTAGAGAGTTTGATTTGGTTAAATAAACATGTTTTTATGTTAAAAAGAGAAAGCTAATATTTCTTTCATCTTTTTTAATTTAGAAAAAAAATTAAAGTTGATTTTTTAAAATTTAAAATCTGTCATGTGACTTTCTCATTTATGTCATTTACTGACATTAAGCAAAATGTGTGATTAGATTCATACCATCTCTGTCTGTGAAGTTGCTGCTGCTCACAGATAAATCATCAGGAGTTGAGATGCCATTGGTACTGGAATTTCCAATCTTCTTTTGTGTTAAGTGCTCAAGACTCATGTTACTGGGTTTGTGCGACTCTTTAGTCAAGTTCAGAAAGACCTGGAAAGAAAAGACAGAGCACTTTGTTAACATAAAATATGCATATCTTTTCTAGTTTCTAGGCTCAATTTTGATTTTGAATTTTTATCATGTTAATTGAGACAAATAAGTGTGACTTTAATTGAACATATTTGTATGTAAAAGATAGGTATTCTCTAATTGGAGCAACATGTGTTTTTTTAGAAGTCAGTCTTACAAAAGAATTATATTGAGATAATTTTAAGATTTTATGACATGTTAATTTTAAAATTTTTTCTTTAAAAAAAACCATATTATTTTAAGAATACAGCAAGTTATATCAGCTGTAAGAAATGCCCGGATGTACCTCCTCCACGGTGGTATCTGAAATGCCATAGCACCCGATGTTGAGGTCACCCATGCCGTCGTCCAGCGCTCTTAGGAGTGACAGGTAGGCCCCTGAGACTTTGGTGCTAAATGGAGGAAGGACGTAAACAAGCTCTCCCCCGATGTCCTCCTTCAAGTAGGCTTCAGGGAGGTGTGACCGGATCATTGCTGTCACAGCCATCGTGTCACATATTGCACTTGCATTTAGATTTGGACTCTAGAGACAAAAACAGCAGTTAAATACTCCCTTGTCTTTACATGTAGTGTCCAAGGGCCCTAATCAGAGGGTGGTGCATTCTTTTTGTCCACCCCTAGGGGTCCCTGTCCCACCAGGGGTCCCTATAATTGTATGCAAATAACTATTCTGGCTCCATTCTCGCACCTCACCATCTCTTCTCCAACCTCTTCTCCATCCTCTGCATCACGTGAAACCACAGTCTCTTTTCTGGGTGATAGTTTTTCAGGCTCAGGTGCAGCCCTTCCTCAGAGCCTTTACAATTGCTTCCTTGCCCCCAGACTGTGTGACATGGCTCATTCTCTCCCTAGCTCCAACTCTTGGCCCAAATGTCACCTTCTCAGAGACTCCTTCTCTTACTACTCTACTTAAAATGGCATCATTGAAGCATTCCTTGTTCCCTTCTCTGCTTTATTTCTACCCATAGCATTTATCACCTGCTAATAAATTAAATAATAATATTTATTAACTGTATCAGCTAAATTCCCCATACTCCATTAGAATATAAACTCCATGAGGGCAGCGATTTTAATCTACAAGATCCTCAATGCCTAGAACAGTGTCCGGAGCACATAATAAGACATAACACACACAATACGAAAAAATTTGAATGCATTAATGAATATAACAGTAAACTACTTTTTATATTATGAAAGTCACATCAGGATAATTAGACAAATAAATGACAGTGGTCAAAACCTGACTGATGTCATATACATCTTGCACAATTTGATAAATCATATGCTATGTTAGGCAGTACAGGGATCCTTAGTATTTTTGGTTTTCAAAGATGTACAAGAAAAGTACCAACTGTCTGCCTGAGTTGGTCTCCACATTGCCACTTGAGGAGTACTGACCAGAAATTAAATATATGATGCCATATCCTCTTAATTTGCTTTTTTTCAATTTTTGTTTTTTATATTATAAAAAAATCTATTACCAGATTGTAGATACAAAATAATTAGCAATTTACATGAAATACACATTAATATTTCAAGAAAAATGATTTTAAATATAATAATGTTGCATGCAATAAATATTAATATTTCAAGAAAAAAAGATTTTAAATATAATAATGTTACCAAAACTGTACTAACAAAGTATAATAATTTGCTTTGGATAGAGTAGAAAAATCTATCTGTTAGCCTTACAGGATGAAGTGCTGGGGAAAATGAAAGGCTGATCCCTCATCAGTTACCTGAGGAAATAAGTCTTTCTTTACCTAGCACAATGGTTCCCACTGTAATTCCAGACAAGTAGCATCAGCATCATCCAGGACCCAGTAAGAAAGGTAGTAAATCTGGAGCCTTATCCCAGACCTATGGAATCTGAAACTCTTGGGGTGGGGCTAGAAGTCTGGGTTTACCAAGACCTCCAGGTGTGCTGATGCTTCCTCAAGTTTGAAAAACATGAATCTAACATATGTATAGTGAATTTTAGCAAGGAATAAAGTTGGAGAGATTCTGCCGGTTTCATACAAAATTCAGTCATGACCCCATAATAAGGTGTATTTTCCCTCCCACAGACCTTTTTCTTGGTGAGCGTGAGGTGGTACCCGTCCCCAAATGCCTCCTTGAGGTAGAAGGGTGACCCGCAGCAGCGGAGCCCCCCCATCTCCAGGAAGGCAATGCGGTCGCTCAGCACTTCGGCCTCATCCAAGTGGTGCGTCGACAGGATGATTGTTCTGGCTTGAAAACACAGAGGGGAACCAAGAATGAAAAATGAAAATACGGTTCTAAGATATATAGAGTTAGCACTGGTCCATCCTGTGATTTATGAAAAGACTCACATTTTATGAGCTAACAGGAAAACTAACAGAAGGAGCTTCCAAAAGGAATAAAGAGAAATTCAGAAGAAGTATTCCTAAGTATTTAGGGGTCTCTCTCCCTTTCCCACCCTCCCTTCTCCCCCTTCCTTTCATCATTATGAAGCAGTCATTTTAAAGACTTTTTGAATATTCCTCTCTGATTAATCCTCTCTACTCTGATTGCTCTTTGCTTCACATCCTGCACTTATTTAGTCTGTTTTCAGTTTATCTTCATTTGTGTATGTTTGGTCTCTCTAATTAGATTCTAAGCTCCTCTAGGCAGAATTTGGAACTTCTATTGGATTTCTATGCTCTCAAAAAGGCCAGTTAAGTGCTTAACTCACAGTGGGCACTGCATTAATATTAACTCACTGTCCCAGAAATTTAGCTGGGAAAAGAGAAGACTTGGGAAAAGGAAGAGCCCGTGTGGGATTCTTAGTGAAGATGATTATAAACAGAAAAAGGCTTCAGTTTCTTTGTGTGTATCCCAGAGAGCAAACCTATGACTGTTGGGTGGAGAAGTTATAAGAAGGTACTCATACCAGTTTTGTTCTTGGATATGACATCCCATATACTTCGGCGAGAACATGGGTCAACTCCAGTGGACGGTTCATCCAAAATGACCACCCTTGATCCACCAATGAGAGCTATGGATATGGATAACTTCCTCTTCATGCCTCCTGACAATGTTCCAACTCTCTTATGACGATGACTATACAGTCCAGTATCTTTTAAAGTCCTTCAAAAAGAAAGTATGGTGGTTATTTTTGACAGATAGAGCATTAGAATATTGCAAAAATTTAATAAGTACCCTAAATGATAAATATTCACTAAACAACCATTATATGACAGCAAGGTGCAATAAACTATTGAAAATTCATGACATAATTTTCTATTATTTATCATCTAGTTGAAGGTATAAAATTAATGTTCAGGAAACAACACAAAGGAATATGTGGTTCATTATTCTATTCATTCATTTGACAAATATTTATAGAGTTTTACTTTTTGAAGCCAGACTGTGTTTTAGGTACAAGTGGAAAAGCAGTAAGCAGATAATGTTCCTACTCATAAAGATATTATTTCTGTGTGTCTCATAATAAACATATTTCCAAGTAAGTATGCAATATTCTAGGTGGTGATAAAGGCAATAAAATGTAGCCTCACTGATGTGGTTCAGTGGATGAGCACTGATCTATGAACCAGGAAGTCACAGTAGGGGGTGTGCAGGAAGCAGCCAGTCAATGATTCTCTCTCATCATTGATGTTTCTATTTTTTTCTCCCTCTCCCTTCCTTTCTAAAATCAATAAAAATCTATTTTAAATAAATAATGAATGAATGAATGAAGGTACACGATATAATAGTGCCACGGGCATGACGTTTTAGGCACTTACATTATATATGGAAGTCTCTTCAGAAGGTGACATTTTGCCAACGACCAGGAGAGTGGAGGAGTAAGTCAAATAGATGTTTTGGAAAAGTTGCTTTAAGTAGAGGGAATAGCAAGTGTGCAACTGGGCTAGCATGCCAAGAGCAGAGTAAATGTTGGGAGAACAGAAAAAAATGAATCAGAAGTGAGACTGGAAACAGGTCAAGTAGGGCCTCAGGGATGGCATGCTCTGACCTGTAGTTTACACAGGTCTCCATGTTGCTCTTTGAAGAATAGACTGTATAATGGAGGGCAAAAGCTGGGGGTCGAGTTAGGAGGCTTGGATCAGCATGGCAGTCATGGAGATTAGAAACAGAGGGTTTGGGGCAATATGGGAGCCAGAGTTGAAGACATTTAAACAATACTTGTAGATGGCATTAAATGTATTTGATACCAGAGGAGTAAAAACAAAATAAAACACAAACAAATCTAAAACTCAACTGGTTTGCGAGGAAATGTTCCCTGTTGGTATTATCACCACAGCTTGACTTCTTTTGGAGAAGAGTTACCCACACACATTCTCATTTCTGCTGTCACTGACCTTTTCACTTCCTCGTGCAGCTGCTTTTTGGTCCAGTGGGGAACTTTGATGGAGCCATATAGGAGCAGGTGCTCCTTGGTGGTGAGGTAACTGAACAGGACGTCATGCTGCATGCAGACGCCCATGCTCTTCCGCACGTTGTGCAGGTCCTTTTTGATATCTTTCCCGTCAACAAAGATGGTACCTGCTGAGGTCCCAAACAGCCCAGTCAACATGGAGCTGGAAATAAAGAAACGATAAAGCAGGTGTAAGCCAAGCATTGAAGCTAGATTTTAGAAACAAATACATCTCAGTTGTTAGCAAAAAAGAAAAAAAAGAAAAAAAAAGTTAATAGTCTATCTCCTTAAATAAGGTCAAACTATGAAAGAAAATGGTATTAAATGGGAAAAAAACAATAATACTTTTAAGCTTTTAATAATTAAGAGTATTACATAAATACTGCATAATGATGACGATGAAAATGGTGGTGGTGGTGGTGGTGGTGGTGTAGGTGTAATAATGACAGAAATTGTTGGACTTTTTAATTGCAGTCCCCTCTCTCCTTCAGCAAACTTGTGTACTTCCCTGGCATCAGATAGTAGCTGTAGGTAGGCTATTAGTCTCAAATTTGGATCTCTAGCCCAGATCTCATCACTCAGTTTTAGGCTTGCTTGATAAATTCAACAGGAGATATCTTCCAGGGTCCTCTAATTCAACTTGCTTAAACCTGGACTTACAATCTTTGAACTCAAACCCATACCTTAAGTGATATTACCCCCTTCATCATACAATGCTTGCATACCATGGCTGCATAAGCCTCAGACCCAGTGTTTTTGGCATCCTTCTCCTATCTTAGTCTCATAACTCCACCATCATCTTTCCATTTTTCCAGCCACCACCACAGTGCAAACCCCCATCACCACTTGCCTACTGCCACTGTAGGCTTCTAACTCCACTCCTTGCATCTTCTCTGGCCATCTCCAGTCCCTTTCTCTACTCTGTGACCAGAATATTCTCACCTAGACCATTTCTTGTCATCTTTTAGATGGTGAGTGAGTTGGGAAATTATTTAATAATTATTTTCTTCACTAAAATGTAAGCTCATGAGGTTAGGGAAAGGATCTGTTTTCTCACCACTCTGTGTCAGTACCTAACTAATGCTAAGAACTTCAGTGACTAATGTGGATTACATAGGGGATCAATACAATAAGCAACCCTTCCCATAAAAACATTAAAACACAGAGACATAGAAGCATGGGATAGACTGTCGACCCTCAGAAGGAAGGCAGGGAGGGGAGTGAGTGGGAAGAGATCAAACACAGAACTTGTATTCATATATGCATAACTCATGGACACAGACAATAGGGTGGTGAAGGCCTGGGGTGGGGTCAATGGGTGGAACAAGGGGACATATACAAGGGGGAAATACTTTCAACAATAAAGATAAAAAACACACATATAATATATTTCATTCTTTATATTAAAGCTTCATATTCAGAAGAGTAAGATGGTAACTTTCTTGGTTAAAATGACAACCTCTTCGAAAGCCTCTCTATCTCCTTTTTTCATTGGCTTCTATTGCCTGTTAGAAATCTTGCCTTTTATGCATTCTATTCAAATGAGAAAGGCAACTCTGAATTTAAACAGGTCATGTAACATGGCTGCAGGTTCACTCGTTTCATGACCTTCCTTCGTCCCCTTTTATTTACACAGTAAATTAATTTGAATATGCTTTGGCAGTCACTGAATTTACTCATGATGATACTAAATAGGATATCCAGGCACTGACACTTTTTCTCAAATAAGTGCTAAAGCGCCCACAGCATCTTAGAGCTGATGCCTGGCTAAGCAATATGGAGCATGGGAGGTGAATAGCAAACAAAACAAAACAAAAGTCGAAACAATGTCACTTTTAAAACATTTGATTCTCTTCTCCACCCAGACACAGGAAAGTGCTAGTTAAGTGAAGAGTGAGAAAGAACAGCTCATGCACCTCTTCTGTCTTTTTTTAAATCTTTATCTGAGAGCTGGTGATTCTTTTGTTTATGAAGCAAGGTGAGGCCTCCCTGTGAAGGAACAGCTGGGGCTGAGTGTGTTTATACCAGAGCATGTAAACTCAAGCTTATATGTGAGCCAGGAGAGAAATGCAAATAAGTGAAACAGCCTGGGCACATGACATAGTATGGGTTGATGGGGACCAGAGATAAACCAGAAGGCAGATGCCCCCTTTAAGAGAAAAGTCACTAGCCTGGCCAGCATGGCTCAGTGGTTGAGCATTGACCTATGAACCAGGAGATCACAGTTTGATTCCTGGCCAGGGCACATGCCTGGGTTGTGGACTTGATCATTGATGTTTCTATCTCTCTTTCATCTCCCTTCCTCTCTAAAATTAATAAAAATATATTTTAAAAAAGAGAAAAAAGTCTCTAATAAACCCAACCAAATGTGCTGACCCAAGACTGTGGACTCAATGTTGCCAAAACTTCCTTTTATCTAAGAGATGCCAAGAATATTTGTGTGTGTTTGTTTGTTTGTTTTTTATTAGAACACTCCCCTTTTTTAAAATATTGGCACTGAATTAAAAATTTTAAGAAGTGCTGGGTGGGCCAACACTAGGTGTAACAAACAAACCTGTCTGGTGGGCCTGACCTGCCCTTTGCCCTCACATTTTAAGATCTCTGATTTACACTTCATCCTTCAGTATACAGGTTGAGCCATATTAATCTGTCTGGGAGCTATAATGGCTTTACATTTTATGAAAGAGGTAAGAAAATATTAAATAACATGCTCCTGTGACAATAAGTGTTAAACAGTAACCTACATGGTAGTAGTTTTCCCTGCTCCATTGGGTCCTAGCAATGAAGTGATGTGTCCTTCATAAAAGTTCAGATTGAGGTTATCAACAGCAATTTTTGAGCCATAGGTCTTTGTGACTCCATGCAGGGCAACTCCAACTGTGAGATCTTTAGGTTCAGGCTCAATGTTGGAAGGAAACATGTATTCAGGACCTAGAGAGAAATCAAGAGAAGTGTTGGAAGTTCACTAAGAAAGAAACCACAAATTAGACTTTTCTTAATTAAATCATAACCCTCTACGTAAAAAATAATTCTGGAAACAAATGATCTGTTATAGTGTTTAGACTCCTCTCTCGGTTAAAGAAAGAGTACGAGTGTGGGACCACATTCTCTAAGGTTTATATGGCCCTTCTCTGTCAGAAAACGCAGTCCCACAAAAAAGCGTCATTATGCTGAATTCTGCCTTATTTTCAAATATTGAAAAAAACAAGTCAAGGGTTTGTTTGGATATATGATACCAAACTTATTAAATAAATGTCTACAAGCTGTGATTTTAGAGTGACAAGGCTATCTCATTAGCTCAGATCTGTGGTTTACAGAAACCAGTTCATTAACTACTCTTTGTATCTCTTTCAAGATCACAAAAGGATCACTTATACGGGTCATCCTTACTTTAGAAAAATGGCACTACTCATCCAATGTCAGGAAGACAGGAGTTTTATTCTGTTTGTCCAGTGTTGGCAATGGGTTGTGATAAACTATCCATACCTGTTACTCGGTTACTCCTTGTGAGTAGTGACAGATGGCTGGAATGAGGGGTGCAGACTGTGGCCAAGGAACAAAATTTTTCTCTGTGTCAGCCTAACTGGACCACAAAGGGATCTGCAATATTGGACTAATTAGCGCCATATGCTAACCAACTGAGCTAAGGAGCCACAATTTAATCTCCATAAGAGTCCAAACACATATATGTGGATATATTCATCCATGATGAAAAGTGTAATTTAAGAAAGCATAATTGAAATCACTAGTCATGTAAGTTTTATATCACTTCTCTCCTAATAATATATAGTATTGACCTACTTGTCTTGCTGGCAGACGGGTTGGTGTTCTGCATCATGATATTAGTAAACATAAGGCCATTGCTTTTCTCATGCTTCACCTCTGCGCATCCAAATCGCTCCTTCCAATAGGAAGGAAGGATTGGGAAATACCACGGGGCTGCCATGCCATATGTACCTGTAATAAAAATATATTAGAAAAAATAACTATTAATTGATTGTCAACATTAAGCATCAGAAGCCGAACAACATATTACTATATATGGTTCAGGATACAGTTTTTTTTTTTTGATACTATATAAAACTAAAGAGTGGTCTCAGTTTTCAAAGTTAAGTAGCTGGCCTGTGTAGCTCAGTGGTTGAGCTTTGACCTCTGAACCAGGAGATCACGATTCAATTCCTGACTGGGGCACATGCTCGGGCTATGGATGCAAAAGGCAGAGATCAATGATTCTCGCTCATCATTGATGTTTCTATCTCTCCCTCTCCCCTCCTGTCTGAAATCAATAAAAATATTTTTTTAAAAGTAAAGTAAAAAGATAGCTTTTCTTTAATCCTTTCCTTTTTGAACAGCTTCATTGGGGTATGATTATATATTATAAAATTTACTCATTATAAGTAGAGTCAGACATTTAGTAAATTTATAAAGTTGTTTAACCGTCACCACAATTCACATATTAGAACATTTCTATAACTTCAAAAGCTTCTCTTATGCCCATTTGCAGATAATCCCTGCTTCCAGTCAAGTCTCAGGTAACCACTGACCTTATTTCTATCTACATATTTGCCTTTTATACAAATTTTATATAAAGAGAATAATACTCTTTTATTCATTTGCAAAAAAAAATGTACCAGTATAAACAAGGCTTAATGGAAAAACTCCTAAGCAAGTTAGAAATGAAGACTACTTGAAAGCTAGAAGGGAAAAACCCAACTAGTCATTTTCCATTAGAATTGGGTAAATTCTCCTTAGAATTAAGAGACTTGGCTTTTGCCTTACACTCCCATTTGGAAAGACTGGATTTCATGCTTCTTAATTCACTCCATCCTATAAAGAAACACCAGAGAAGGAACTCCCGAGTACATTCTCTCATCTTAGAAAAATTCTGGTTAATCTTGGAATTTATTTATTTTTGGAGATTATACATGGTAAATAAAATACTAGAAAATACGTAGTAGCTGATTAATATGTTCATACCTGGGAAAACATTCCTGACATACCAAGCAATAAGGAAGTAAATGAAAGAGTCAGCTAGAATTAGACAGCACAGCCAGCCAAAGGAGGTGGTGTCGTCCTGAACAGGGGAACTGTACATATTTTCCCACTGAAGACCTGAAAAGTGAACACATATATTTATTCTTGGGTGAGACATATTGCAGTTGTGAAAGATAAAATCCCCTTTGAAAGAAACTGAGCCTACCAATGCCCTGCTCCTCGTATCGTGCAATGTATTGACTTGCATAACTGAATGCTGTTGGCGACAGAAGGCTCTGTGAAGAGAACAAACAGCAATGATAGTTTTCACAGATTTCATACATTTCACCAAAGGGATCTTAATGCACTTAAAACTTTGGACATATGTAGATTAAAATCGTATTTAAAAATACAGAGGTCCCTTACCAAGCCTGCCACAACTCTGAGAGAAGAGAAGAGGGAATAGCAGAAAATAAAATCAAGAAAATTGTAACTTGGAAAAGACTTGTTAGAAACCGAAAATATAGTTCTAAACTTATTAAATGTTGCTCAGAATTTTTAAAAATAAGGGAGTACAAAGTAATGCAATATTAAGATTAAAGTCAAATGAAATATAAGGAGCCAAATGTTGTTTTTACTTCATAAATAGATTTCAGGTAATAGAAGTGATATGAGAAAATATACTAAAATATCAATTGATTGAATACTTATTATTGCAACAAATTAAAATTTTAAATTTTGTTTAAACCTAAAGTAGTAAAAGTTAAATGAAAGTTGTTTATCACTTTCTATTTCTTTATGGAAACTTCTTAGTCAATAAAGAGGTTTACTTCTGCTTTCCAAATGTCATAATCTTAACCCTTTCACTAAAATTCTTAAATTAATCTAGTACTTCTGAGTTAAAAAGCAAAAAAAAATCAAAATTGATTATATGCTATTAGTGCATTTATTTTTATGCCTATAAGTTATATTGTATGTCATGAAAACATCAAAATCATTCATATGAGAGAATAATTCAAGTAATAGAGTCCTTACAGTAAGAAATCTTGATGATTTATAAAATTTGACAGATTACATTTTAACTGTTCTTTCTTCAGAAACTATTTCTTAACAGCATCCATTTATGGTTTTAGAAACTGTGGGAGAAGTGTTTCTTCTTCATAGTCTTGTGCTTGTAGGGTAAACAATGATGTAGAAAAACACTACCAGGACAGTTAAGCTTATATTGCAATCACTAAACGTTTAAATTTAAATAACTGTATTTTCAGTTTGAAAGTCTAAAAACAAAACCCCAAAAGGATCTCTTTTTCTCATACACTGGCCATTCCATGTGACTGTTGACTCACCATGAATACTTTCACTACATAGCTCAACTCGTCGTCAACTGTGACCAGAACAATAAACGGGAAAAAGGCAATGATATATATGAGGCTTCCGATCAGAGCGGCGATGTTGGTGTTGTTAAAAAAGACACTGATGAGATAGCTCATGGCAATAACTGACAAGCTATAGTCCGAAAAATACAGGAACAGAATGAACCCATTGGTTTTAGGAAGAATATTGCCAAACTTGAGGATAAAGATGAGGATGGCAATTGTAACCAGCAAAAACCCAACACTCTCGATCAGCCAGGCAAAAAAATGACTGGAGGAGTTCACACCCATCATCTTCATGTACTGCAAAAAGGAAAAAGTGTTAGCTGCTGCTGAAGCTGATAAGTTCTCAAACAACAATTTTTCTGTACCATGCAAAAATACCCAAGAGGCACTGCACATATGTGAACTAGGTAGGCATCTTAATGATTTTCATAAGTCAAGTATGTGTCCATGCTGGTTCTGTGAAAGTAATATGACCATTTATTCTAGCCCATCTTAGTATGTCCTCAGAGAGCCCCAAAATAATGAAATAATAAATGATTTGGATGGTGAATGTTTTATTTGTGTGTGTGTTTACAATTCAATTTTTTAACTGGTATCTAACTGATGTCTCCAGATTAAATTACTTTAGAGTAGACCATCAAAATGTATGGTATCCCCTGAAGAATTTTACAACATGAAAATAACATGTGTCATCAGTATTTTCAGCTGTTGAAAAACCATAGTTTATGTAAAATTCAATGTTGGGACTGATATAATAAAACTAAATATTTTTTACTAAACAATCAGTATTCATGTTCCTGGAAGAAATAAAACAGACCTGATTCCTAAGAATTTAAAATTATGGAAAATTTTTTGAAGGGAGACTTTCTGTCTTTTGCCACACCTTCCCCATCTTTAAAATCACTGGCAGCCTAGGTCAGGTTTGTCATCTTTGTTTTCCAAAAAGACATTCACACACTCAAAATGAACTCAGGTATCTCAGAGAATCTATATCTCTTTCTCAAATGATATTCTTTAATAACACAGTGATACTCACAGAAGTCAAGGCACTTCACCAACGTAGAAAAACAGATCAACATGATGCGCCTATGCATTAACTCAAAAGGATTGTGAAGGACTTAAATTCACCTGGACCTTGGTTGTCTTGAATTTGGTGACATGTGGTATTTGGAGAAACCTGGATATTCTGGTTTCTAGTTTTAATAATTCATAATTTACATTAAACTTCTAAATCTGATATTTCAGAAAAAAGAACCTCAAAGAAATATTCCACTAATTTTACAATCCCCACCTTCTTAACTTGTCTAGGAAAAAAAAAGGGGAAATATGCTCAAACAAGAGAGTGAATTTTACTTTCTGCCTTTGCAACTTATCACATTTTGATAACTCTCCTGCTCCAGTTGTTACCATGGAAACAGCTACCTGACTGCCAACAGTTTAGTTGTGGACCTGAAGCTAATCACCACTGAGAAAAAGCCTCTGACTTTTCCTCTTAACTTTGCCCTTTCCTCACACTCTTTTCTCCCTACTGCTCTCTCCTCCAGGGCCCTATCACCCTTGGTTGTAAAGACTCAACCTGTGTTTCCATAGGAAGGGAAGTGTGGGTCAAAGTTAAAAAATCAGCATGGAGCAAAGCTTCACTGTGGAAGTTTACCCATCATTGAAAACAAAATGAAATTTTGGAGTGAAAAAAATCCTTACATATTTTATTTTTAAAAATATTTCTCTGCACCCCAACCCCTTTGGGAAAATTACAATGTCATGTCTCATGACTACACTTCAGAGATATTCACCTATTCAAGTATGATCATGATGTGTTAGCTCTTTATTTGCCTTTCTTGCTATTTGTAATTTGAAGATGGAAGATGTGTTTTTTGTTGTTGTTGTTGTTGTTTTAGTGAGTGTCTGCCTATTTAAATATAATTAAATGAGGCATTATAGAACTGATGTAGCTACTCCAAAGCTAATATTCACCACCAAACTTTATGTGGTCTACAAAATATATTTACCACCCATTATGTGTCAGTAGGAGACAGTGTCAATATACTTCACAAAGTGGGTATAAAATATCCATGACACTATCAAGGACATGGCATAAAGCTGACTCCATTAGTATAAATGCATTTTCCTTCCCTGACAGTTGATAGCTGCAGGATAACATATTTATAAATCTAAAAAATTATCCATCCTTAGCCTTGTTAAAGATAATTTGGCAAACCTGGAGACCAGGACTAAAGGTGTTTATCATTGTAATTTTGAAATTTTTGAGACTCAAGATCAGATTCCTTTTCCCAAGATTTGGTAAAAGTTGGAGACTCATTATTGCCTTTTATCGAAACAAATCGAGTTAGGTGCTTTCAAAAATGCTCACTACTTAACATTCTAGCATGAAATTTCAGTGTTAAACTTTAGGATTTTATGCCATGAGGAGAACAGCTGCTATTCATAAAGAGTCAGAGCAATGAGAGCATGTAAGTCATCCATAAATTATCCAGATTCCCTGCCAACTTTGTTATAATAAACAAGACCAAACTTGCTGATGGAAGATGGCCCAGAGAGAATGGTTGGCTATGCTTTCTTGGATGTTGTTAGTTCCTCCTCAAAGTGACAGGTGTCAGGTGCCAGCTTTGTAAGCATCACATGTCTCAAGCCTCCCAACCTGCCAGGGCAATGCATCAACACCTGATAACCTGCTGCTCAAGGGAAACCCTCTGGACAGTGGCCAAAGTCTGCCCCAGTTTGTGGCAGAAATTAATGAGAAGAAAGAGATTCTGTAAGATTTTGCATAAATGAAGCTTATGCACAGGGATTGGCAATGGTGCTATCAGGAAAAGAAATCATAAATATTCATATATTTTACTTGACAGTAATGTGTTGCTCATTCAGTTCAGTAGTATGCCAAGCACTAATTTGTAAAGAATAATATTTTCTGACTCAATTTTAAAAATCCTCATATCAATAGATATTTTTATTCCTTTTTAAATTTTATTTTTATTATTATTTTAAAATATATTTCTATTGATTTTTTACAGAGAGGAAGGGAGAGGGATAGAGAGTTAGAAACATCGATGAGAGAGAAACATTGATCAGCTGCCTCCTGCACACCCCCTACTGGGGTTGTGCCTACAACCAAGGTACATGCCCTTGGCCGGAATCGAACCAGGGACCCTTCAGTCTGCAGGCCGACGCTCTATCCACTGAGCCAAACTGGTTAGGGCAATATTTTTATTACTTTTTTTAGTAAGATGTACAGGATGTTGTGATCATTGCTTGAAATGTTCCAAATTTCCCCTAGTGGGATGGATAGTGTATGACAAAGAAAGCATAAAAGGTTGTCTAAAGTGAAGCACCAAAGGACTAAAAATCTTAAATAATCTTATTTGATCTATTAAATAAAACAGATCAAACTAACCCATAAATGAAGATATATATAATACAAATATATAATACATACATATATATATACATATACTAGTATATGTATATAATGTGTGAAAAGGGACTCTTCCATATAGTATATTAAACTGATAAGAACAGATACTACACATGATCTTAGCCAAAAGGCCGAGAAGTGATCTTCTTCCATGTATTATAAAAGCAGCTTTTATATAGCTTTAATATTCTGATTTTTAAAAGCAAGGAATGCAGAACAAAACCCAATGGAAAGACATTTTAACATATTTTTTAAACTACAGTCTTAATCTCTTCAATAAACTTATTTGTCATTAATATTTGTGTTAATTTCTTTAGCAAGTTAAAGGAATTCACTGGAGTCATACCATAAGGAGGTCAAGGATTAATGGTTTTATCAAAATAACAACTAACTTGGTTTTCTTGCCCAGATTTGAAAACAATTACAGAAGAAAAAGATTGTGTATGTGTATGTGTGTGTGTGTGCGCGCGTGCTACCTTTTAAATTTAATTTGGAATGAGAAGGAAATAAAGAATGGGTAGCTTTAGGATTTAACTAAATATACAAAGGATGACATTAAAGAGTAATTCTCAATCTCTCGTAACCTAAGAAATTATCATCATCTTCAAAAGTCCTTAAGAGTCCATGCTACTAAAATAACATTGTGAGGGGGAAGGTAGCTGTGATGTAGAAAGGATTTGATTGGAAGTCAAGACACTTGAGTTCTAGCCAGATCTACTATTAACTAGCTCCACCATTTTCAGCAAGTCACCTCTCATTTTCTGGGTTCAGCTTTTTTATCTTTAAAAGGAAGTAGGTTAGTTTAGAACTATGGGCAATGGAGGGAGGCTGAGCAGGGGGCACTGGGAATATTCCACTCATTCCTCACCTGCTTCCATTCATCTCACAAATAGACCATATTCCTTTGAATTCAGGACACCACTGATTTTAAAATGTGCCATTATTTTACATGCAATGAAGAAAGAAAAATCGCTGCCAAATAAATTGACACCCTATCAAATGCATCCCAATTTCAGAGGCTTTAAAATGTGAAGAAAAAAATCATTACCCTGGAAGTGATAAAATGTGGATAATTGAATGCCTCCCATGTTCCGGCAGTGAGAGAGCTCCATTATGGAAATACAGTGCTGAATGAAGTCTTGGTAATTTTCATAAAGCTTAAGAGATCAGGCCCAAGTGGATAGGAACTGGAAGATTCAAAGCCTGATCCTCTGATTCCAAGTTCACTGATCTTTAATTATATGACTGACCCCCAAGTTCAGCTGGTTAAATTTAGTAAGTGGATGACTAAAAAATGAGGACACAGAACTACCAAACAGACACTTGTTCATTGTTAAAAATGTCTTTCATGTCTTTGAGTGAGAAAGGACTCTTTATCATGCTTTGATATTTTTGGTGACATACATAGATGTTTAAAAGTTATTATCTTTAAACATAAAATAATATAATGTGTGTTTCATATGTATATATTATGTATGTAGGTATATAACACACGTTTCCTGTGTATTTCTACCACAAGTGATATTTTTAAGGTAGATATTTATTTTGAAGTAGAAAAGAACTTTGTTTTATCACAGTTTTCTACTTCAAAATTTTCCATTAATCTGTGAAGATTCACTTCTGAGTACCAGGAACCTGAAAGAAAAATATATGGTAGGAACTTGCAACCAAAGTCATTGTCCAAGGAATTAAGAAACCATTGTACTTTATCCTGCATACAATGGGGCTCACTCCAGTTGATGAGACCTTCATTTATCAACTTGTAACTGAACTCTAAAAATGCAGCTATGAGGATCAACCAGAATTTAACAGGAAAGGTAAGAACTTTAGGTTCAAGCTGTAGGACAACCTTAGAAGCCTGGCACTGAATAAACACAAATATGAAGCAGTGCTTTCTACCTTGTAAGAAGTAATCGATTGCCTAGCAGCATTAGCAAAGTAAGTCTGAAAAGTACAAGTAGATTAACAGGTTACTCAATTATCTCAGATTGTCAGCCAGGACTTGCAATAATTATTGTGCCCCAGTTTTGAAATGTTTTTGCTTTCTCTTCACTCTTGAGTGTAAGAATGGACTCATTACAGGTTGAGCAGATAAAATAATTCCTTTTCCAATACAATCCAAAAATCACACAATGCTTTTTCATAAATTCTAGAAAGAATATATTTTGGATTTGGGGATAATGATGCAGAATATGCTGAAGAAGAGATCATGCTTTACCTCCTAGCTACTGTCTTCCATTGTTATATTACTAACCTAACAGTAACATAACATAAAATTCTTAGTCTATAAATCATGAGTTAGTGGGATATAGAGGGGAAGGTAATTGAAGGAGACAAGTTATTCTGGAAAGAGACTTTGCTTCTTGAGAGCTGAAACAAGCCATATGTCTAAATCTGTGTCTGGCTGTGTCTGTGTCTATGTGTCTGTGTCTGTGTCTGTGCCTGTGTCTGTGTCTGTGTCTGTGTCTGTGTCTGTGTCTGTGTCTGTGTGTGTGTCTGTGTGTCTGTCTGTGTCTTTGTCTGTGTCTGTATCTGTGTCTGTCTGTTTGTGTGTGTCTTTGTGTCTGTCTGTATCTCTCTGTGTGTGTGTCTGTTTCTGTGTCTGGGTTTCACATCCTCAGATTCAACAAACCATGGATCAAAAAGAGTATTTTTGGTCCACAGTTGGAAATCTGAGAATGAGGAGGGTTGACTGTATGCATTGATCTATGACGTTTTATATAAGAAACTTGATCATCTGAGGATTTTGGTATCTGTGGGGGTCCTGGAACCAATCCTCTATGGATACCAAGGGACAACTAAAGTTTTTGTGGAGTCAAAAGTTATATGCAGATTTTCAACTGTGCATGGGCAAGTGACTCTAATCCCCATGTTATTCAAGGGTCAACTGTATATCTATACCTATATTTATATCATTATTTGAAGTCATTTAATTACCGTGCCAATAATCTTCTTGCTTTAATAGCATTATTGTTATTTTTTAAACTTTGTTAAATCTTAAGTCCTAAGGTGACTATTTGGGCAAAAATTACTCTTAGGATCATTAATTGTACTTAAATTTTATACAAAATTATTCATATTTTATTTTCAGAAACACTTATAAAATACCATCTATGTAATTTTTTGGGGAAAACAAAATACTATCTTATCAGCTGCCTTTATGATGCAAAGATATGTTTCTTTTTTAAAAATCTTTATTGTTGAAAGTATTACACACAATCGCTTCTCGGCCTTTTGGCTAAGATCAAGTGTAGTGAAAGTATTACACAGGTCCCCCGTTTCTCCCATTAACCTCTTGCAGCTGCCATAAAATCGATTTCTAAAACACAAGGTATGGCTCAGGCTTTTTGAATTTGTATACGTATGATGAAAATCATAGTAATTAATTATACAAGTAGAACTTATTCAGAATAAGAAGAGATCCTCCACATACCTCATGAAGCCGGAGGTCTTTCTCATAGACAAGCTTTTTTACAAATGCAGCTATAAATACAACCCAGGCAACCATGAGCACGATTGGAAGAGAATAAGAGACACTGGTTAGGAAGCTGCAAAAAAACAAAAACAAACAAAAAGAAAAATCCAGTGACCAAAATGAATGCCATGCTTACAGAGAGCAATATATAAAAAACACACTCCTTCTCACACTTAAATTATACTGCATTTTTGAAATTGAGAATAATTGCTAATGTTACTCCTTTATTTATGAAATGTGAAGCTGACAATAGTAGGCCCATGATTTTCTTGCTCTAAGGCTGCAAGGACAAAAAACAGCTCTAAAGGGTTAGATAAAATTGCCATGTTGTTTAAAGGGTATTTGAGTATGTCTTGTCCAGGAAAATAATTATTATATTGATATAATTGCAAAGCCCCAAACCCTGCTGCCTAAACCAAATTCTTATCAAAAAGGCAGACTTAACATTAGGTGATAATTGGTTTATCTAGCTAAAATCTGTATCTTCCCAAATTACTGTATTTATCTACTCTTTGGAAGCTCATAGTGATTATTAAACTAAATTTTCCAAAACAAGATAAAATAAAACTTAAGACCTTCAATTTAAAATGCAGACAAAGAACTTGAATTCAGGAGATTTTTCATAAAGAGTATAGAAATGTCTTTTTTTGTAATGTGTGAGCTAGAGGGTCACACACTGGAAGACCTCCTCAGGACTGCCTGTATTCCTGAGTGACCTGCCCATGATAACTGAGGGTTCTAATGCAGTGTTTCTCAAAGTTGAACACTCATCAGAATTGCCCAGGGGGCTTATTGAAACACAGATTTCTGAGCTCCACCCATAAGCTCCTAATTTATTATATCTGGGGTGGGGTAAGGAATTTGGATTTTAAACAATTTCCCAGAAGATATGATGCCACTGGTCCATACTTTGAGAACCATAGCTTCCTACTTTGGCTGTCTTTCTATGAGCTAAGCAAATGAGTAGTTTTCAATGAGAGAAACTCTAAATTGATCTGATTTGCATATTAGGCTCCACTGAGGCTTTTACCTGGAGAAAGGTCCCAAGGCCATTTCCTTTTTAATCTATATGGCTAAGGAATTACCTTCAAGTTCCCCGTGAAAAATACAAGTATTAATGGAACATGACATCACCATCATTCATTCTCACTTTAGCATCAGAACTGTTAACACCATCAGAGGTATGAGGTTTTTTGTTGTTTTTTTTTCTGTGGGAGAGGAGCGAGGTAGGGTTGGGGCCATATGCAATTTTTTTGGTTCCTAGGAACTTGTCTGGCATGGGGTAGGCACTTAAAGGATATTTGTTGAATGAATTTTGTCTTGGTTCAGGTCCAGCCCTGATGCTGCGTCTGGCTCTAGTATTAGGCAAAAGCCCTTGTTCATTAATAACAAATCCCCTGCAATGATTCTCCTAAGTGATTGTGTATTCTAGATTTGATATAGGACAAAGAAAAAAGTGCTGATCTTGTAATCTAAGGACCAGTGGGGTACCAGCTCTACAACTTGGGACACGTAACATAACCTTTGTGAATTTTCACTTTTTTTTCATCTGTAAAGCAGGGAGGAACAAATGAGCTAATATATGCAAAAGCACTCTGTATGCGACAGAGTTTATATGTACGTGTGAGGCATTATGATCATTCTCGCATAAAGAATGCAAAGTTTAGTCACTTTTAGTCTTAAAAGAAACATCTAGGTGCCTGGGATTTACAAGGGGAGAAAGGGGAGCAGGAAGAGAGGAGAGTTTTCATCTAATTGAACCCACAGGTCTTTACTATTACTGCAAGCCTTTGTGTTTCACACGTGGGTCAGGCTGCAAAGTCCTTCCGGCCTTCACAATAAGCAGCTCACCTTGACAACCCACTGACACAGTCCTTGCCTGTCTGCTATATCACAGCTGCACAAAGCGATACATACCCTCTTCGAGTCTATAGCTTTAAAGCTATACATCCAGAGAAAGAAAAAAACATTCAGAGCATCTGAATTGCATATAAATTGCAATAACCGGGCTGAATAACGAGTACAATTCCTTTAAAGTAATATTCAGCCTCAAGCTTTTGTGTATGAGAATGAGCTTAAAAACACTTAGTTCTCCAACCTTTTTTTTTTTTTTTTTCACTCTGGCCAGAGTGGAGGAGCCATTCAGTATTACCCAACTGGAAGATTTCTTGAACATTCATATTCAATTGTCTAACAACATGATACTTAAGTGTTTTTTTGTTGTTGTTCATTTGGCAAAACCACTTTAAAGATTCCTAGCAAGTGGACTAAGAGTACATGACATAGTTTTAGGCAGCACATTATTTATCTAGAGAGTTGATCAATGATGTGTTCCATCAAAACGTACTATACAATTGACCATGCATTCACATGTTTTTAATTAAATATGAGAATTGGAAGGGGTTTTCAGATTGTCTTGTTTATCTCCCTCATCTGACTAGGAAAGGCAAGGCTGGCAGAGAGCGGGTAACATGAAAATCACGCAGCTGTGCATGCACTGAAGGCTGGAGCCCAATACTCTGAATTCTGGAGTCAAAGTCCTTGGAAAGCTGAGTTATGATAAAGAAAACATGAATCATTTGGTAAAATCCATCCCATCCTGTTGGGAACCACGAGCAGCTATTTTAGAGCTGTGCCAGGAGCAAGCATTTGACAAAAGTTTGGTGAAAACTTTCCCTTTCGCTCCCAATGAGTGAAGGAATGGACATAAGTGAGTTCTCAGAAAAACGGTGGATTATTAACAAGGGCTGCAAGTGCACTGACTTACTTGTCTTTCATGTAGCAGGGGTAAGGAATTGCTTGGACCTGGACTGCTATTTCCTGGGAGTTCCTTCCAGTCTGCAATTCAATGATTGCTCTTTCAATATTATCCTGTAAGTAAACAAAAGCCCGGCCATAGATCTGGTTGTGTGATGGAGAATTATGCGGCCCCGGGGCCCAAATCTTGGCCCTGATGTTTCTTGTGGTCTGTGAGGTCTTGAGACTCATGCGGATGGTATATTTTACGACAGGAGGAAGAGAGACATCGTCAGATTCATAGCCTCTGTATTGGCTTGTGTTAGAAGGCAGCTTAAATATAACACCTAAAAATAAAATGGCAACAACAGCAGAAAGGTTAGTTTATGGTTGACATCATTCATTGTTTGGAAGGTACACATAGGGGATTTCCAAACAGTCAATTTAGTAGTAATGTGACAGTAAGTTCAGGCTCCCAATTTACAGAAAAGATGGCTAATTAGGAGTTACAATCTGAGAGATTCAAAGCAAGAGTTTAAAGATATAATCACAAACAAAGTGGCCATATTAAATACATCACTCCAAGCCAGTTACTGAAATAAAACACACACACACACACACACACACACACACACACACACACACTTCACAATGAATAATCTTAACTAATTATAAGGATTGACTCAACTTTACCCTGTAACTATGAAATCCTTTTTCAGTCTTAATTTTAACCATACCAACAAAATTATACATAAGTTGAAGGTTCCACTGACAATAAGGATGGGTGACTTCATGAAAGGTTCTTGTTTCTAAGGACATTGGAGTGATTGGAGTGGACAGTGCCCGCCCCCCGCACTCCCCTTTCCCCGCCCCCACCACCACTCTAACTATTTTTCTGAGTTCTGGATGAAAAAGGTGAGGGAAGAATTTGGCCAATTTTAGTATAAGAGAAACTCAAACTCTAGCTGAATAACACTTACTTCCAAAGAGTTCGTTGCTTTTGTAGAGTCTTTCAGCCTCTCTCTCCATTTCATCTACACTTTCTGCTGCCTGAATGCGGTCATATAATACACAGGAGGAAATATTTACTGTCAGGGAAGATAGTGTGTTGAGATGATCAATGAGGTCGATGCTGTTCTCTAATTTCAGCCTTAGAATATCTGAAGAAGCAAAGCAAAACAGACAGAAAGCATGTTATGATGTTGTATTATAATGTTGTTTCTCCCAGTAGTACTATGAGACAAAAGAATGACTTGGTAAGTATATACTAAACTAGACAATAAATGATAGAAAGTTGCAAAGTTTATTCTAAAAATATAATACTCTACATTGAGGAACATATGTCCAGTTTTACAAATATTCATTGAGGACAATGTTCAATTATAAATGCAGTAAACCCAAGCTCAAAAAACAATATAAACTAAGTTAAAAGTATATTCTGCTATAATTTAAATAACAAATGGCTAAATGTGAAAATTTTTTTTAAATATCTATCTACATGTAGTTAGAAAGAAAACCATAAAATGGAGGTGAAAGTTTCAAATAATCAGTAATGCTGCTTTGTTTCGAGAATGGTAATATAATAATTTAAACA